CTGCTCCTGCTGTATCCAGAGGAACCTGTAAGTGGGGATTTGTGGGTGCAGCACAGAGCAGGACTGATACCCGCGTGTGGGGCAAGTCTGCCTCTGAGTTCCTGAGTGGGAACATGTCCCAGAGCAGTGCTGTAGAAGGTGAGGGAAGGAGCATTCCCTTCTTTCCCCTCCTGGGCATGCAGGGTGGTGCACAGCCTCTTTTTACCCTTAGAAATCAACCACCTGACCTTTCTCTGCCAAGGAACTGAGCTCCATGGAGAGGAAAGCCCTGTCCCAGGAATGCTTGCTCCAGGCTAACGGTTCTAGAAGAAATCCAGGATCTATTCATTGGTCCTGTACCTGGCTCACTTTATTTGCACCTTTCTTTGCCTAGGAGGGTTCCATTAGAATTTCTAAAGGCACTAGGCAAACACAGCTCTTTTTATATCATTTACCATTTAAAATTATCGTCCATACATATTATATTTATTCAGCCATTGTCTTAGCTTGGGCTGCTATAAGCAAATAACATAGGTTGGGTGGTGGCTTAAGCAACAGACATACATTTCTCACAATTTTGGAGGCTGGAAGTCAAGATCAAGGTGTCAGCAGATTCATATTCAGTTCCTGCTGAGGGTCTACGTCCTGGTATATAGAGGGTCATCTCCTTGTGTCCTCACATGGCCTTCCTGTGTGCACACACTTGGAGAGAGCCAGGTCTCTCTGTCTTCATATTGGCACAAATCCTGTCATGAGGGTCAATGCCTCAGGACCTAGTCTAAACCTAATTACCTGCCCCTGAGACCCCACTCTAAATACCATCACACTGTAGGAAAAGGCTTCAATATAGGAATTTGGAGGGGACGGAGAACCCACACACTCAACCTATAACAACCATCAACTAGTTAAAGAAAAAAAGAATGCTGAATTTAGTTAAGCAGAGAGGAAAAAGAAGAAATTTTATTCTAGAGCAGTGCATTTTGAAAATTAAATATGCTTTAATTTGAGGCCAACAAATAGGTAATGAGACATGGCTTGATTACGGGAACGAAGAGGTGGGTCCAGGCACAGCAGCTACGTAGGAACCAAGTGAGCAGACAAGGCCAAGACCCGGGTTTGTGTCACAGTCCAGCTGGTTGGTGTAGCAGTTAGTATTCATCATAGCAAGACAGAGAGACCAGGCCTGTGCCAAGATACAACTGAAAGTTCCTTGTAAATATCTCTATGGTCATCTTAGGGGCATGGCTGAAACCATGCTGTACTCATCTCTGTTAAGCATTAGCAATCAAGAGCTGGACGGGTAGAATTATTTCTCACATTCAGCCTTTCTGAGTGTCAGTTAGAGAGGATCTTTAAGAGCATTGTGTTATCAATGCACTAGCGAAGGCGTCTTCACAGCTGGAATTGGGAGTGAGCTTGAGAATGACTTCAGGGCCTCAGGCCCCTGTCTGTCCAGCCCCTGTGGGAGCTACTTGTCAGGTCTCCAACTGCTCTGCTGCCTGAGGCAAAGCCTAGGTGGGGGGTGGAAGACCAGGTCTGCGAGGTGGGGCTTCTGCGGGAGGAAGGCTTAATGTTGCAGGCTGCTTCTCGGCTGGTCTTGTCAGAGCCGTCACCTGCGTTCACTCACTGTTACCTTTCTCCTGCTCTGTTGCAGCCTTGCCACAGTCTTGCTTTAGGTCTTCCCATTGCCTTGGAGGTGGAACAGGACTTTTTTTCTTTTAAAATAGTTATCAGAGCAGCATTCTTACAGCCTCATGTCCCTCTCACACACATGCCTAATCAGACAGTCTCGATATAATAGACACCCATAAGAAAGCAACTCCCCTCTCGGCTGTTTACTTCCTGGAGATTTCATCTTGCATGAGGATGGCATTATGTTTCAGTGAATCCTGAGCTCTGTGATTACCCAGGATATTTCATTCTCAGCAACAGTATGTGATTGAAGTAAAGCGTCAAAGCACAATCTTGTAATTGTGCTGCTGAAATAAAAGAGTTCTGGCAGGCAGGAATGGCAGAGAAGTGGGAAAGTTTTAGCGAACGGGGCCATTTCTCTGGGGACCTGCTTGTGATTATTTTGACTGACTCAAAACAACTCGTGAATGAAAGAACTCTTTTCAATTAAAATGTAAAGGCATTTTTAATTGATTATACTTTACACTTTGCTGCTGCTTGAGAAGAAAGAAGGAGAAGGAGCCGGGCTTTCAGAATGCAGTTCTTAAAATTGCTGGAATCCAATTAGATGGACAGATCTGAAAGGATCTTGGAAAAGCAGACTGTCCTGCCATCTTTGCCATGCCTCGCCTCGCCTCGCCTCGCCTCGCCTCGCCTCGCCTCGCCTCGCCTCGCCTCGCCTCGCCTCGCCTCGCCTCGCCTCGCCTCGCCTCGCCTCGCCTCGCCTCGCCTCGCCTCGCCTCGCCTCGCCTCGCCTCGCCTCGCCTCGCCTCGCCTCGCCTCGCCTCGCCTCGCCTCGCCTCGCCTCGCCTCGCCTCGCCTCGCCTCGCCTCGCCTCGCCTCGCCTCGCCTCGCCTCGCCTCGCCTCGCCTCGCCTCGCCTCGCCTCGCCTCGCCTCGCCTCGCCTCGCCTCGCCTCGCCTCGCCTCGCCTCGCCTCGCCTCGCCTCGCCTCGCCTCGCCTCGCCTCGCCTCGCCTCGCCTCGCCTCGCCTCGCCTCGCCTCGCCTCGCCTCGCCTCGCCTCGCCTCGCCTCGCCTCGCCTCGCCTCGCCTCGCCTCGCCTCCTGAATCTCTCTTTCCCTCCATGTGTTTGCTCGGCCAGCCATGCAGCACCCATTCAGAATAACTTGTGAAAGCCCCACTTCTCTCCCGCTCAGATTTTCAGTGATTGAGGCTCCCTGATGAGACCCAGCAGGCAATTTCAGGTGTTTCTCTTCAGTGTTTGGCTCTCATGCCTAAAAGAGCCAAATAAACACCACCCCTACCTTAATTTTTTCGGAGACATAAAGAAATATGACTTTATCAAAGTAAAAGTGACTATCCCAATTACAAGAAAAAAGAAGGGCATTCTGGGTTCCACAGGGGACTGGGGGTGATTTTTAGCTTTCTCATTGTCCATATCATAGTTAGCAAAGCCAAGTGCAATTAAGGAAGAGGACTTGTTCAAGACCCTGCAATGTGCCACTTCAGAAAGACTGGATTTGAACAAATCATTGAGAATTTGAGATGACATTAAAAAGAATATTCCTTAGTCACTGCCTTAAACATGTAGCTTCAGGGGTCAGTTTTCTCTTTACAGTTGGGGTATTTCAAAAGATACAGCAAGGCGCTGGTGCGCAGGCAGGGGAGGGGGCGTTGACGAGAAGGGGCCTCGGTCGCGTCTGTTCTTCAGTCATTGGTGCTCCAGGCTTGGGGTCAGCAAACTCCATCCTGCAGCCTGAATCCTGCTCACTACCTGTTTTTTGCCCACCTCATTGTCTATGGCTGCTTTCAACGACAGCATTGAGTATTTGTAACAGACATCTTGTGGCCTGAAAAGCTTAATGTACTTTACTAACTGGTCCTTCATGGAAAAAAGCTTAACTCCTGTTCTAGGGCTGAAATCTACCTTGTGATGAAATGTCAGATGTCCTACTGCCCCTTTGGTTACAGATTGGTTTGAGGTCCTTTGCAATTTTCCTGGCCGGGCTCACCAGAACCTACCTCCTCAGAAGAGTGTTGTTACAAGCATCATCCCACCCGACTCCTTCACAGGCCCAAGTTCCATGTGAGTGGGTCCAGGCAACTGCAGTGTATACCCCCCGGGCCAACCTTAATCTTATTCCTGACAATTCTCAGGTAACAGGCATCAGTAGATGATGGAAATCTGGTAAACAAGAGCAGTTTCATTATTAAAACATTTTAAAACAAATCTCCATTTTACTGCAGACACCTCCAAATATGTTCTGCTATCAGACCTTCACTTTATTCCAGTCTTTCTGCCATCATTTTTAAGCCAGAATACTTCAGGCAGGTTATCAGATAAAAACAAAAACAGCTGTTCTAAACCAGTGGTATGCACTGCTATTGCAGAGAATTCACAGGGGCAGGGACTCAGGTGCATCCACTTGAAGAGAATCCTGGGTCAGGGAGCCCTGCAATGCCTGATGATTAGGGCTTCAAATAATCCCATATAGCTGAGCCAGGAAGTGGACCAATAATCGGAAGTGACGAATGGACAAGTCTGCAATATAATCAGATGGAAAAAGTTCCAGGAGGGAATCGGCAAACCGTAAGTTTGCACAGGTACATTGTAGGATGGAGAGAGGGAAGCCTAAGTAACAAAAATTTCTTCAGGCTGATTTGGGGGGAAATGACTCAGTTTTCTTAAGAACTGCCTGTCCAGCAGCACAATTTAGTGCTCCAGATATGTACTCCCCAGTGTTCTTCAAGAATGTGTATCCATCATGAATTTAATTGATCAACAGCCCCTTGTTTGTCTGAAGTTGCAGATCTTTGCCAAGAGCAGACCAGTGAAAATACATCTCATCCGTTTGGCAGCTAGAAGGCTGTCCTGGTGGGTTATATTCTAGCAAGACTTCGACACAAGTTCGCTCAAATGATGTTAAGAATATGAT